AAGCCAGCAGAAAACCAATTCAAGTGGTGGCCCCGAGTCCGGACAGAGAAAGTAAACAACAGGCCATTGCGGCCTTTAGGGCGCGCTGGAGTGACCCCCACGGAAAGCTGGAAGAAGTGCAGGACAATGGAAAGCTGACTTGGAAGAGCTGGGCAGAACAGGAGAACAGGTGGTCCTTCCAAACGGCTGACTGCTTTCCCACCCCGCTGCCAGGTCAAACAAGAAGGGCAATGGCAGCAGCTATGTGTCACCCGTGGTCATGACCGCGGGGTCCATCCCGGCCCGCGGCCGCGGACGGGTTGCGGTCACGGGGCTTCGGAGATTTATCCCGCCCACGCAGGTCAACAAGCACGCACACATACAGACTTAGAAAACTCAGCAGAATGCGGGAATCTCAGCAAGGCATCCATTCCATCGGCAGAGCTTCAGAAATCAGCAGTGTTCTCAGTCTGTGTTATGGTGGGTCATTACAGTCTTCGTCTTTCATTAAAATACGTGTAGGGGGGGTGTAAGGTTTCTCAAACCTTACAACCCCATATATTTTTTTCCAAAACCGATAAGTTTTGCGTATTTTAATGAAAGACGAATACTGTAATGACCCACCATAACACAGACTGAGAACACTGCTGATTTCTGAAGCTCTGCCGATGGAATGGATGCCTTGCTGAGATTCCCGCATTCTGCTGAGTTTTCTAAGTCTGTATGTGTGCGTGCTTGTTGACCTGCGTGCCTGTCTGAGTCCTTGTCGGTATGAGTGTGTGTGTGACCCGCAAGGGTACTTGCTTGTTTGGCAGGCCCGTAGGGCCGGTACTTACCTGTGGCTGTGGCATTGAGGGTTGCAGCAGGGGAAAACACTCAGGTGGCGGAGCCAGAGGTCCGCGGCACTTAGAGCAGCGGAAAAACACTCAAGTAGCAGGTGGGCCGGTACCGCACCCAGTAGCAGTAGATGTCCCGGGTACTCGAGGCCGAGCAGAAGAAGACAAAGTTGGCATTTTTAGAGGCCCGGTAGCGGTAGGCTAGGTCTAGGCCGGTACCAGTCCATCCAGCCTGAGTCTAGAGCCTGTACGGGCAATATCAGAGTCTGCAATGATGTTTCCCTCCGAAAGGGAGGAGGTACCGGTTCCTTGGGAGGCCGAGCGGCCTGGAAATCACCACCCAGGAGGCAAGTAGGCCGCTATATCAAGAGGCCGAGGGAAGAGCCCGGCCTCATTCTTCAGTGTGCAAGTTTGGTGACACGCTGCTGGAGCGCTGGCTGGAGGAGCGCTGGCTACTACAGCGCTGCTGGGAGGAAGAAGCCTGGAGCTTCCACCTTCAATTTTGGCTATGGTGGAGCTCTACCTGTAGGAGGAGGAGGGAGAAGAGGACCAAGGAGGAGAGTGGCGAGGTACCTACCTGGCTATGGTGGACACCATCTTCATCACCTTGATAGGCGCTGCATCTGGAAGGCCCCAGTTGGGGTAGTGCCACACCAAGGAAGCTCGGGGCAGAGACAGGCATGGCGGCCTAATGAGCAGTGGCATAGCTGCTTTGCGTTGTCCTTTGCACAGGAAGGCAGCGACATAGCTGCTTTGGGTTGTCCTTTGGACAGGAGGGTTGAGCCCTCGGTAGTTCGCCATAGCCTCGGCCTACATGTGAGAGGAAGGAGAAGAGTGGCCACGGCTATGGTGGACCTCATGCTGTGCCTGCAGTAGAAGAGGGATTCGGACATTGATTCTGGTTCAGCCATTCAACATTATTATTGTTATTTCTTGTTTGAATAAGAGGGGAGGAGATAAGGAGGAGGAGATTGGTTGGCGAAGAAGAAGACCATTATCTTTGGTCTATGCTGGCGTACATCTTCTTCTTCTTTCTTACTTCTTCTTCTTTCCCTCTCTCTCCTCTCAAGTTCATTCATTTCTTTTTGCAATTGGACGGCATTGTACTTTCTGATGAATGTACACTTCTTCTTCTTTCTTACTTCTTCTTCTTCTTCTTTCCCTCTCTCTCCTCTCAAGTTCATTCATTTCTTTTTGCAATTGGACGGCATTGTACTTTCTGATGAATGTATACTTCGAAATTGGCCAGGATCGTAACAAAGACAGTAACAAGGAGAAATAAGGGGAGGAAAAAAACAAAGGAGGATTTTTTTTTGGGTCAGTTTTTCTTGGGAGTTGATTGTATTCCGAGATTTGCAGTGTTCTTTTTTTTTTTTTTTGCTGTTAAGGACAAAAGAAAAATCAGAGA